GAAGTGATTTGCTTGCATTGCTGTTTCCATTGAAATATTAAATTCCAAATAAACAGAAGCAGCACATACCCACTACACAGACAAAACAAAAGCTTACCTTTGATGCGAACCCAGCAGCCATTTTAACACAAAAAGCCGAAGATGAGTTGAAAAGCCCACGAGTTTATTGAAATTATTCACAGAAAACAGAACCGACCATCTATTTAGTTTAGTGATATGCGATTGCAATTTTTGGGATGAAGAAACAGGGGAATTGAGAACTAGAAATTACCTGCTTCATTGGCGACGCGAATCTCCGGCCCTACATCTCTTGACCATTCCCGGAAATTTTGTGAAGAAATACGAAAAGGTTCATTTGGGCAGAGGAATGGAGGAACTGGGTGAGGGTTGCCTGAATGTTTTTAATCCTACGCTACATCTCTTGACCATTTGATTAATTAGAGATAATATTTTAAATTTAACATAAAAACTATAAATTAGGGTTTACACACACTGACTTTTGGAGTTTCTATTTCTCTCCAGGTTGCAGACTTTGTTAAATTACAGAATACAAATCCATATTGCATATGAGTTTCAAGCAAATTATTACAAAATAGACGATCGAAGAAAAAGCGCAAACCATTTAATTTAAACAGACCTTTCAACCAGACACACTTATAAATAAAGGAAGAAACAATGCCCTGCTCAGCTTGGACTTATTGATGCGGACAGAGGAGAAGACATCCTGGAAGTTCACCTTGCAAGATGAAACATCTTGAACCTGAAAAACAACAAATAAGAGGTTATTTGCTCTGTTATTCTTCTTCTTTTTATAATCAAGTTATGAAGATTTTACACAAGATTAGCATAAATGTGTACCGACCTTTATCGGCCTCTAGGAAGAGACTGATGCCTCATACAACTTCAACTTTCTTCCCAATCTGGATACATGTTCTGTCACCAGCAAACCAACTGCTGCTACAAGTAAATAAAGGCAGTCCTTCAAGTTGCTGAAGCGGACCCTCACGTTGTTGAACAACAGGAAACAGAGATGTTTCCATGGATGATCTAACTTCACAGCCAGAACTCCCACAAAGCCGATTGCCGCTCCAAGTTCGATACCCGGTTTAAATGATTTCCAAAATTCAGCTGTGTCTTCTTGATTGTCTTTGCCACCACTATCTGTTGATTTGCTCTTTGATTTTTCATCTCCCGGGCAAGTTGGTGTCAGAGGAAGTCCACAGAGTAAAGGATTACCAACAAATGCAGAAGCATTAAAGGACTGCATTTGGGTTGATAATGGGATTCTCCATGAAAAGTTGTTGTACGATAGATTCAAAGTGCTGAGGAAATTTAATTGGGACATGCTCCCAGGAAGATGACCTGAAAGCTGGTTCTGTGACAGATCAAGTGATTCTAACTGTCTCATCTGCCCAATCTTTGAAGGAATCCATCCCGTCAACTGATTTCTTGATAAGTTCAATTGAACCAGTCCCGAGAGAACAGATACCTCGACTGGAATCTTTCCTGTTAATTTGTTGCTTGAAAGATCAATAATCTTTAGAGTCTTGAGATTTCCATTCTCATAATCACGCTCCATTCCTTTCCACATTACAGATGCTTTGTCAACATAGAATCCTTTGTAATAGCCATTACCATCAGGATATGAAACTGCAAAATAATAATCAATGGCTGAACTCTCCTTTTGAGCTAATGTGGTCAGATTCTGGATGCACGATGGTATGTTTCCAGATAGATTGTTGTTGGAGAGGTCTAGCACCGTAATATTTTTCAACCAGCATAGCTTCAAGGGGATGTCTCCACTGAAATTATTGGACCTCAGGAGAAGGAAACTTAGTGAACTTAGCCTTTCTCCAATCCAGGTTGGTATTTTCCCAGAGAAGTTATTATAATTCAAGTCCAGAAATTGCAAGGCACTGCAATTTCCTAGAGACTGAGGTATTTCTCCAGAGAAACTGTTGTTTTGCAAAGCCAACGATTCAAGATAATACAAAGATCCAATAGAGTTTGGAATTTTCCCAACTAAATGATTATTAGCCAAATTCAGAATCTCTAGACTTGTCCATTGTGTTATGCAATCAGGAAACTCTCCAGATAGTTGATTGTGCGAAACATCAAGGAACTGAATTGTCCCACCAGTTATAGTACAGAGAGAAGAAATTGACCCAGAGAACCTATTTTCTGATAGGTTTATGGATGTGACATTAACAGGTAATACTGGCAATGGACCCTCCAACTCGTTTTTACTCAAATCTATCCCAGGGGGAAAAGAATGAGAAAATTTTGTTGACAAATCTGGCAAATTTCCAGAGATATGGTTGGAAGCAAGATTCACATAAACTACCCTAGAAGATAGGTTCCAAAACCACTCTGGAATGCTATCTGAAATTCCACTTTCAGAGATATCAAGATAAGAAAAATTTCTATGGGACTTTAACCAGCTTGGAAAGCTTGGGCCCAACTTGCACGACCCAAGTCTTATATATTGCAACTGGAATGGAGGAATCCAGTCATTGCTAAAGTTGATGCTCAAAGAACTAGAAGACATGCCCAACCCTCGTAACTTAGATAGTGTTGAAAAGTGTGATTCATTGATCGTCCCATTCAAAGAATTGGAAGAAATATATAAGCCATCAAGGTTTGATAGGAGTCCAATACTTTCGGGCACAGTACCACTTAGTTGAGTATTGAAAAGATCCAACACTCGCAGTGAGTGGAAGTTTTTTATCATATCAGGCAAGGGTCCCTTGATTTTATTTCCACCCAAACACAATTCTTCCAAGGAGAGTTGTAGACATCCAGATAAGTTACCAATGAGTTCAAGAAGCATTCCATCAAGATGGTTATCATATAGCTCTAGGTACCTTAATTTGCACAGGTTCCCAAAGGATTTTGGAATCCCCCCTTCCAATTGATTATTCGAGAAAATTAGCTCCTCTAGGAGAGTCATGCAACTAAAAGTTTCAGGAATTGGCCCTCGAAATTGATTAGAATACAAAGAGAGACTGACAAGGCTGTTGCTAAAATTGAACAACCATTCGAATGCAGAAGTAGTCAAATTGTTGCCTCCTAGATTAAGGTAAATGAGAGAAGTACTAGAAGTATTAATTATGGGGAAATACTGGGGAATGACATCTCGAAGATTACAGCCATATAGAGACAGGTTAGTTAGATGAGGGAGCTTATTAATTACTTGCAGCCAGTCATTGTTGACCTTACTAAGGTCGATTCTACTCAAATCAAGGTATTGCAAGTAAGAAAGATGAGAGAGCCACTCAAGATTTTTGACACTGTTGAAGTTATTATAGCCAAGATCAAGATATTGCAGACTTGTGAGGTTTGCAAGCTGACTAGGAAGAGATCCACTTAGATTACAATAATTGAGATCAAGATGGTGTATTTTGTTAAGTGAACCAATAGACTCTGGAATGTGGCTTAAATTGAAATTATTCCCACTGAGGTCTAAATAAATTAAATGCTGCAACTCAAATAGAGAAGGACTAAGGTTACCTCTTAAGATAAAATAAAGGTCATACGAATATGTGGTTAAATTAAGCACAGTGATGTGCCCAGTTGTGTTGCTACATTGAACTCCTTCCCATTCACAGCAATTCTTTTTCTCTTCTTCACTGCCCCATGAGGAAAGCCATCCATGTTCATCAACCAGACCTTGCTTAAATGCAAGAAGAGCTTGTCTTTCGTTCTTTATGCACTTAACTCCATCATCAGTTGTTGTTGAATTGGATCCAATTGAAGTTTGCATATGTAGTAAAACCAGGAGTGCATAGATAAGATGAAGGGACCCTGCACCCAGAATCTTCATTTTGAAAGTGATGAAAAATAAAATCAAAGATGAA